GCCACGTGAAGGTGTAGAAGGGCAAAAGGGGGGCTGTGGTTTCTGCAGTGCAAGGTTCAATCCATGGCTTTGGAAAGGTGTCCAGAGGTGAAGTGTGGGGAGGGGTGAACATCTTCTGCATGTTCATATTTGTGTGTGTATGGCTCTGTTACCTATATGGGTAAAAACAAAGTGCAATTGTAGCATATGGACATATGCATTTTTTTTTTTTTTGGCTAATTTTGTTTAATGATGAAAGTTTAAGATCATGAAACGGGTCAAATGAACCCCTATTCTGTAAGAAAAAAAATCTGAAAAAAAGAGATAATGTCTGCAGAAAATTAACAGTACTTTCCCCATTAAGTTTACTCACATTTCCTTTAACTATAAAACACATTGTAAATGCCTTAATTCAAAATACAGGTAAAACATCTGTAGAAAATCAATATAGAAAATTCCTTTATATTAACCATGTACACTGGGCCGCATTTTTACAAACTTTTCTTAAAGTATACCTGGTGCAAGAGTTTTTGCAGAATATACTGATAAAATATGCCACTTATATTTTTTTATTACTTTTTTTTATTACAAGGGTGTCATGCATGTAAAATACTTAATAAAATAAAAGTTATGCATTTTGATTATTTAGTTGTGTAATTACTGACAAATCACATAACAGAATCTCCAAATTACACTATAACAATGCTTCTGTATTTTATGGGCTTTGTGCTCTGCACAATGACAATAAAGTTGCATCTAATCTAATCTAAAAAACACCAGTTAAAGTAACTCCTGCTATTATTCTACTAACTTTAGTGAGTCAAATAGCCTGTGTGGACACAGCTTTAAATGCAATCCTGATAAGAAATCTCAGAAAGATAAAACACCTGAGATTCACTATAATCCTTTATTTCCATCCTCACCCCAACAATTAGGACCTAATCTGCTAAAACCTCAATCACATAATACAAAGAAATAAAGTGATCCTTTACAAACTTTTCTTAAAGTATACGTGGTGCAAGAGTTTTTGCAGAATATACTGATAAAATATGCCACTTATATTTTTTTATTACTTTTTTTTATTACTTTTTTTTATTACAAGGGTGTCATGCATGTAAAATACTTAATAAAATAAAAGTTATGCATTTTGATTATTTAGTTGTGTAATTACTGACAAATCACATAACAGAATCTCCAAATTACACTATAACAATGCTTCTGTATTTTATGGGCTTTGTGCTCTGCACAATGACAATAAAGTTGCATCTAATCTAATCTAAAAAACACCAGTTAAAGTAACTCCTGCTATTATTCTACTAACTTTAGTGAGTCAAATAGCCTGTGTGGACACAGCTTTAAATGCAATCCTGATAAGAAATCTCAGAAAGATAAAACACCTGAGATTCACTATAATCCTTTATTTCCATCCTCACCCCAACAATTAGGACCTAATCTGCTAAAACCTCAATCACATAATACAAAGAAATAAAGTGATCCTGTAAATTATATGACTCAGGGGACAGCAACAGTTAAAAATGTACAACAACAATGCAATTTTCAGATGGACGATAAAAGCTTTTATATGGTGCAGCTCATCTTGACCTTGAAATTTGGCTTTGTTACATATTCATACGCGTTGCATATAAGTGGAATTGTTTAGGCTTATTTGGCTGACTTGAATTTCTAAATTTTATTTCGGCTAAATGCAAATGGTTACTCAGTAGGTGTTTCACTATGCAAAAATGATATTTATGTTGGTTGTTGCCTCATCATGACATTTCACCCAACAAGTGACCTCATTTTGTGAGGCACATTTATAAGTATTTAGATTAATATCATTATACTTAATAGAAAACCCCTTTGTGATAATCATAACTCTGTATTGTTTAAATAAGGTTAATAGAAACAATTTTGTGGTTGTCTTTGCCCACATTTTACAAAGAACATTTCTAAACCTTATTTAAATTTGCAACACGCATTCCCATTGTGACATTGTTTAATATTGGTTTACATTACCTCACTTATAATATCTAATGTCATGCAACATTACACCAGAACTGTGGCTAACTGGAAACAATTATTTCAGACAAATGACACAGTATGCCGACTAACTGGTTTCTCGTTCTGCTGTGCATTATGATATCTAATAAACAAAGTAGCCTGATTCATTTGACACCACATTGTTTTATTTATGATCTGTCAGCTCCATCCTTTTGCTTCCCATCTGAACTCTACAAGGCAGGACAGACTTTGGCAGAAATGTTTCAAACAATGAACACATGAGACTGCCCAGGCTTCTTCTCAATGCATCATTCGCTCACTAACTCTATTCTAAAGTTGGCTGATATCACGTTCCTCACATAGAAACACACTTATGAAAGACTGAAGGTCTATCTGGGTGCATTCTGGGCATTCCTGTTATTGTGATTTCATTAAGGGGCCACTGATGACCCTGACCATGCAGAGATGCTGACCCTTGGGTTCTGCAGGACAATAGACAGGCTTCTCGAGACGGACTCTATTGAACCTGAGCCTCGCTAAGCATATAAAACTAAAGTTTTAAGCCCAGTGTCCAAAGTGGGTAGCAATGGAACAAACTGCTATAGATGTCAAATAGCAATTGAACTGTATTGTTTAGATACTTTAGCAATTTTCTTATTTTTAGGAGGCATGAGAACAAATTTGCATTGAAATATATCTTGGTTTCAGCTCAGTTTGAATCTGAACTACTAAACACATGCAACATGAGTGACTCTTTGGGTGTGGAACTTTATCCACAAAAACGCGTGAAAAAGAAACCTGTAAAAGAACATGATTCATCGGTTTATTAAAGATTTCATATATCACACGTTCTTCTCTTGACAATGAAAATAGTTAAACCAGACTTCTCAGGCTTCTCACTCAGTCTAATTTCCCTTTGTAATTTTGATTAGAACTCTGTTGTGTCCTGTTTACTCCGTGGTTGGATGTCCCTCACAGTTCAGCCTCTATTCAGCTATCAAACTCAACAAAGCCATTAGAAAATATTGCCCAGAATGTTTTAAAGTTTGTGTACGCCCACAGAGACATAAATATTCTGTGTGTGGGTGTGTGTGTGTGTGTGGGTGTGTTCACATCTTTAGTTCACAGTGCCTTTTTTTTTTTTTTTTTTTTTAATAGCATTTGGTTGTTTTGTTCTTATTTTCCATAATGAAATACAATGCTGTTTGTATTTACCTTACCAGTGTAATCACAAAACTGTCCTCAATAAAGCAAATCTGGACTATTTTCTGCTTTGTCACACCTCATTCATTCTTCATTTTCAACTCATAAAGAAGCTTTTGAGCGAGTCTTTTTTACATTAGCGTCCTGCTTAAACAGTGCAAGTGAAGAACATGAGGTCACTGAATAGAGGGATTTCCATTCAGTCATTTAGAAGACGCTTTTATCCAAAGATTCTTTTCATTTTAATATTTACATCTAAAGCTTTGCAGGATGAGTCAACTTCAGAATGAGGTCTTTTCAAACTGTAATTATTGGCAATAGTATCATGCATAGATTTAAAGATGATGCTTTCCATAGAAATAGAAAAGGGTTGTGTGCCATTTAACATTAAATTGAGTGAACTTTGAACGTCAAAGTTGTTTAAATTCCAATTCGGTGAAGTTGAATGGAGATTAAAATTAAAATTCTTTAAATTCAGAAGACTAATTTAAGCAAAGTTTGTCAAGACAAACTATGAATGTTTGCTACCCCTGTTTGAAAGTTTTAAAAGCCTTGACATTTAAAACTTTATAGGCGCCGATAGATAGATAGATAGATAGATAGATAGTTTATTGGGGTTCCTGTCTCCAAGTTTCTAACTCCCACAAACCACTCTGTCCAGTTGCAGTGACAGGTGGCTCTTTGGGGGTTTGTGTTAATACAGGCCAACAGCTGCACAAAGGAGCCCCACTGGTCTTTTCGGGGGACTGGATGTCCCCTCTCAAGCGTGCCATTTTCACCCCCCGATTTCACTCCTACACCAACCCCCCTCTTCCCTATAGCATCCACTCTTATCCTCTCTTGAACAGATGCCAGCTGCGCTCTACAGGTGGCAAGCAGCTTCGTAATTCATATTTTTTTCGTTATCATTGTTTTGCCCCTAAGGATATATTAGGTCATGTTGAACTAAACATTAAACCGTTTGTTTGAATGAGAAACTGATTTCTTTTGCAATATGATTGTGACATCATGTTATGAAATTTCACTAGGCCTATATGTTATCTAATCTACACCATAAAAACAAAAACTTGAATAAAAATATAATGTATTACAAACACCAGTTTCGTCACTGTATTTATGTGTTTCCTTTTGAAACAGGATGTTTGGACTGGATTTTGAAGGTGTAAATGATTATTTGCTACTTGCATTGTAGGTTGTATTAGGGGAGGGACGTTCTCTGTTAGCAAGCATTTGATTGGATAAAATAAGCCAGTGCAGGATGAGTCATCAATATTTTTGGTCTGTTGCCAGGAAGAGAAAGCATATATAAAAAGTAAGTAGGTAAAAGTGAATTTTTTCAACATATAGCATATACATGACCTCTATGCTAACACATATGTACAAAAGGCACAAAACTCCAATTTTGATTTCATGGGTGGTTACATTTTTTACACATATTTATGCATATAATTTGTAAGGGAAAAGGTGATATGGGCTCAAAACAGAGAGAGGGAGAGAGAGAGAGAGAAAAAAACATCACTTTGGATAGCCGTTATGACATCTTTCTAAAATGAAATTTAGTCCACCGAGTCACAACATTTTGGCGACGCAAGCAGACGGAACCTTCTAATGTAAAACAGGTTGGACAGGTAAAATAGGTAACAGTATTTAAAAGATGCGAGCTTTTAAAGAAAAAAAAAAGACACAGTAGATATGTTCTAACTATTTCTGACAACATTTGTAGTTTCTAAGCCATATTAACAAACCATCCGCCGGTAAGTAGGGATTCCTTTATTTCTAGATCCACCCCTACGTAAAATGTGGAACATTCCACACTGGAGGCCGAGTTGGGACGGTCGTCGGCTCACAGTGAGCCGCATACCATCACCTTCAGAGCGGCAGAGGGAGCAGACAGAGACCGTTACTGCTGTGTGTCAGAAAGTTTATTCAATCTCACCGCTCCATCAGGCCGGGACAAATCTACAGTTTTATGATTGGACTTTAATCACGGTCTCTTCATGCATCAGTCGTATCCATAATATTTTCCCAAGACCCTTCAGTTGATTGTTTTGGGGGATTTTGTGAGCAGAACAGAGCTCACTTCCACTTGCCTGTGGAAACCCGGAGCGATCGAAGAAAGTTTCTCCCTGTCTCACGAAAAGAGGAAAATCCGCATGATTTAACGACAAACATGGAATTCAACCATCTTGACACACAGCCGGGGATAAATCAGTTGACACCCTCAGAAGCACGTAAGTCTGCGTTTATGTTTCCTTAATAAATCTGTATTTTCCCTCGTGATTTATGATCGGTGTATGAATATAGTCAGTTGAATAGAGAAGCCTTTACCTTCCATCGACAAAATCCGTTCAATATAATAGAATCGTAGGAACGATATAGAAACTGTTATTTAAGATAAACTTTAACAAGGTGTGCAGTTCGTTACGCATCCTGAAGCTAGTTTATAAAATTTGAAATAATAATAATAATAAATTAAATATACTAATGCTAGGGCTTCCGCTGTTCTAGAGTGGTTTATATTTTGCATTAAATAAATTCATCTTCATTCATTTATTTAATATGCATTTACGTCATTTATGTAACTTTGTATTTTTATCTATGTGTTTATTTCAAAATAGACAAACACTTATTTATATCGAATTTTTGTGTATTACTTCAAACTATCCGGTTCCTAGAAGCTAGCATCTCTTTATCCAAGATATGACGCGTTCATGGGGGCATACATGACGTGTTACAGTGATTCAATCTCAATCATGAGATATTCCCGCGGGAATTTCACAATCCATTCAGGCTGAATGGACAACGAAGTGGATATATGACGTATTCATAATGTTTCACAGTACTTGCTATTAGTTACTAGTTATCCAGCGATGATCTGCTTGCTAGCATGATGTTTTGTTGTCATTATCTGCGGATGTGATGGATTATTGTGACGCTTGATTGCACTGCACCGCCCCATTTCTGTGACACCACTCTTGCAGTCTATAACATTAGAATACAAAATGATTAAAGAAGAATTTCAATTGATCCGTATGATTGATTCATCATCAAACACTTCTGGTCGCATGCAAGTGATTTCTAATGAATCTGTTGACTAGCCTACTTAATCTTGGCAGTGACACCATAGTCACCCAATAAAGAGAAGCATATGATCTTCAAAGTGATTTGGAAGATACATTCCCTGGTAAAAGCTAGTCTATGCAGAAAGCCATTGAGTTAGGATACACCCTGCAATTATGCATGTCCTGATAAGCATGAATATACAGTAACATGACAGTTGTCTATTTCTCAACTCAAATTACAGTGATTTAATGGATCTGCTGAGAAGACAGAGTGGATCTTTATGTCTTGGGGTTTGGCTGTTGCTTCTGATTAGGAGGGTTTGTTATGTGACATGGAGCCCTCCTGCAGCATCATAAGGTGTTGCTTCCTTTTTGTGCTTTCTTTTGGCTTCATGCTGGAGGGGATCAATCCCGATCCTGGTCATCCTTATAACTGAGCAGAGCACTGGTCTGTTCTTCGTCAAATTGTGGTATGGTGATACTCTGCAGTGTTTTGGAGGGGTTGGACTTTGTCATTCATTTGTTGCAGATGTGTCATTTCTTGTCCTAGTGACTGGTCTCTGTATGAGGATCATTCCTATGAGTAAATATCCTTGAGACTTTGTTAAAACACTAAAAGACTATACAGTATAGTCACTTGCAAAACTTTCAAACTGAACATTTTGTCCTAAAATGGACTTGAGTTTCTTTCTCAGAACCTGAACAAGATGCTGCTTTTGTGTTTTTGAGTCCTTTACATTGAGGACTTCATTCACTGTCGACTGTTACTCATTAACTTTCTTTTTATCCTTCATAGAAGGGCTCGGTTTGTGCCTTTAGACTGATTAATCACCTTTCGTTGTCCTTTCGTTGTATGCCAAATACAAAACAAGACACGTTGCATGCTAGCACACACTTAGGAGCCCATTATTCAATTGTTTGAGAGAAAACAGAAAGTAAATTTAAGTTCTCAATGTTAATAGCTTACCCTGAATGGGAGCCTGAGGTGTTTTTAGCTCTTTTGAGTTCTGCCCTGTCAGGACTTTTGAAGAGCATTTTCTAATCTCTCTTTTCTTTAGATCTGCATTCAGGCACGAGTGCTGCTCGGTTCCTCCCGCCTTTCGTTTTAAAGCCCCAGCTGTCTGCACTGTTTGGCTGTCTTTCGTTATATTCTCCCTTTGCTAACCTGAGAATCGATCTCTAGTGTGCTTGAATCATTAAGATCCATTGCATTCAATAAAATGGCTTCACTGAACACTAATTAATCGCCACTTTAATGACCCATTTCACTCCTTTAGTTGGTTTGCTTATAGATTGAAAGGTAACTAATAAGAATTTAAATGAGTGGTTGACTGATGTCTAATCACAATAATGTTGATATTTATTTTAAAATATACGAATTACTTACCGTGAATGAAATGTATTTAAATAAATGCTTATTTTACACATTTGCTTAAGATTTGCTAAAACAAATAGCCAGATTTGGAAAAAAATCTAAATTTTTTTTGGACCAAATATTGTCTGATTAATGAGCCTATCGTTATTTCGGACAATTTACTATTTTGAAAGTAAATAAAGTGCAAAGAGAACTGTTTTCAGCAATGTTTTATTACTTATTAAAGCAGTGTTGACTTTTTTGTGCATGAAAATCCAAGCATCATGGTGTTCAGGTTTCAACAGAACATTAAACATGTCAAGGTCTGTGTGTTTTTGTTGCTGAGAATGTGCCAGTTTTTATTATGTTGGTTGCTGTTAGTAAATGTATATCCATTTGAAATAGCATATTTGTCAAAATATGTCATTCAGCTGTTCTGGGCAATTCAATCTGCTTAATAGCATTCTATATAAACAAGTCTATGTTAATAAAATATCAAAAATCTTTTGCAGTGTGGCTAAATGACATTTTGAGTAATACCTTCAAGAAAAGAAAAATCATAGAATAAATTTGTTCAGGCTAGTGCACAAAAAAGCTTTGTATTTGGGAGCATGATCCATGACATTATAGATTTTTTTGATTATGCATCATTTTAAGTGAAAGAATTGGTTTCTAGAAAACCGTTTTAATCGTTGTGTCCATGTCAGTTCTGTTGAGGCTAAAGAGTTTGTCAGACTGACACAGGGGCCAGTTTCTGTTGTGTAACATGTAGCAACCCCCAACACACATTCTTATACACACACCCCTCTCTGTCACGCCTGTGAAACAATATCATTCAGTTTCAAAACCCTGAACCAACAGGCTCTTATGTAACAGCAAATGACCCCATTTTTGGGATGACAACAAATGACTTTGTAACAGAATGAAGAAACCACACAACTTTGGAAAATATACTGTACACTAAATTAAGATAACATGGTATCCCATTAGGCAATTGGCACATTATTTAGTTCCTTTTTTGAAGTGGTGGAAAATTTTACCTTGGCTTCATACAGATGTTTTTAAATGAGTGTCGACAGCCTACAGGGGATTGTGTTTAATTGGCTTGTAACAATCAAATGATCCAATTTTATAAATCCCAACCACAAACTTCAATACTCACACACACACACACACACACACACATGCACATGCACCAGTGGTAACTGAAGCACATTCAGCCTGAGGAATAGATGCGGTTCTCTCTACTGCATCAAATCTGGCCTAGAAAATGTGTCTCTGGAGTAATTAATCCTCTCGGAAGACTTGAATTTTGTCAGACCCAGAAAATGGCAAGGAAATGTGAACGAAAAAGATTTTGGAGGCCACATACTGTACTCCAGATTCTTTCTAAATATAGATTAAATATAGATTTTTTCTTTCTTTGTTCATAATAGGAAGGCTTGACTCTTGATAATCCAATTTGCATGACCTCAAAAATATTGCATGTCACCTATGGTTTACAGTATGTATTAATTTTGCTTCCAACAATACATACAAAAGTTTGCATTGAATAAAGAATCTGGTAAATCCTCTGTGTAGCTGTGGTAATATTTTGTCACTACATAACAAATATGCTGCAGTTTCCAGTTTACAATGGTTGGGAAAAGTGATTATAGTTCACCCAAAAATGAACATTCTGTCATCATTTATTCACCTTAATGTCATTCCAAACTTATGGAGATGCTAAGGGGAAAAAAGTAAAAATAGATTATTAAAAATAGTTCCCACAGAAACTTGCATTGACTCACAAAGCATTTTGCGTTCCCTAGCAAAAGTTCCTATCAGAAACTAACAAATATATGTTCATATAACACATTATTTCATATTTCAATATCTCATATTATTATTTCCATCTCGAAAGTTTTGCAAACGATACAAAATTCCTTGGGGGAGCGCAAATTTTTTTTATGAGAGAACACAAAGCTTCTTTTATTTATTTCCCCCATCATACCCATTTTCCCCCCATCATACCCCTTTAGGGACTTCATACAAATGGCTTTTTATCTTCTGCAAAACATAAAAGAATGTTTGAAGAATGTTTGATTTTGTCCACAATGTAAGTCATTGGGATCAAAAACAATATTCTGCCACACTGAGTTTATTATATAGAAAAAAAAAAAACTGGGTGAAAAAAGTCATGAAAGTCATTATTCACTGAAAAGCTTGATGTTCATCCTATTTATCTCTGTGCTTTCATGAGAAAATCATTCTTTGTGTTTATCAGAAGATTAATTAGATGATTATTAGAAGCTCAGAAGTGAATAATAGCTTAATTAGTTTTATTTATTTATTTGTTTGTTTATTTTTGGTGAATTATCCCTTTAAAACGTCAGATATTGAAGTTCATCATTTTGATGTTGGTCTTGTAATATAGACAGAAATTGAGCTATCTTAGTACGGAGACAACATTCATATTTGCCATTTACAGCAGGCGCTGTGTTTTCTGGTGTGGCCACTGAGTGCTAGGAATGCTAAACATTCCTCACTGAATGTGTGTCTTCTGTTCAGCTGAGGAGAGAGCGGACGAGGTAGGAACGGTGTGACAAGATTCCAGAGCTCATGCTTGCATACAGATGGAATCACGTCAGGTCTTCTTTCCCGTGTAGCACACAGATGGTGTAAATCACAGTCCTGAACACGATCACAGACATGAAGCGCTTGCAGGACAGCGTGTTTCTGTCGTCCCTCTCAGAATGGATAAAAGCATCCATCCGCACCAGATTATGTCAGAGGACACACACCAAATGCACTGCCACCATCTTTCTCCATTACA